CACGCACGCACGCACGCACGCACGCACGCACGCACACACACACACACACACACACATATATATATATATATATATATATATATATATATTGTTATACGTTATTTATATATACAAAAATATTGAAGTAAATGCTACGTTTGTAATAAACAGTATGAAAAACATTCACTGGCATGAACGTTCGAGAAATTTTCATAGAAAATAAGCGTATCCCAACAGGAACCTCTATCCTACACGGAATCATCATACAGCCTGACGCGCTATACCAGTTTAGCTACGAAGGAGTGTCTGGTTAGCAAATTCGATTTTACTGCTTGAAAACTACAAACTTCTCATGATTTCCCTCGAACGTCTATATCTGCTCGAAGCGTATCTTAACATAAACATTCGGAGGACGCATATTTTCTATGAAATTCCTTGAACATTCAGACCAGTAAATGTTGTTAATACTGTTTATTATAAACAGAGCATACACTTAAATATTTGTGTATATATAAATAACGTATAACAATAAAATATGTTAAAACAATTGTCGGACTTTCGTAATATATATATATATATATATATATATATATATATATATATATATATATATATATATATAGATATATTTTTAAATATAACAGAAAATGAATGTCCATTATGTTTGATCGTGAGTCGTTCTAACAATTGCATTTAAATCAACAATTATTTCTATACAATAGCCTCTAGAATATTTTGAGACATAACCGTTACAGACAAGCCATTAAAATAGACATTCTTACCTGTAATCCACCATAAACCAGTATAATTAAATAGTCGAGCAAAAACACAAAACACATGGCCGGAAGATTACGTTTAGCATGAAATACACTGTCGTCTCTTCAATGTCCACTTTTATATTTACATACGCTCTGTTACTGAGCACTTTTACCCATAAACATAGTGTAACTTACACCTATATTTTTAGCACACACACACACACATATATATATATATATATATATATATATATATATATATATATATATATATATATATATATATATAAGATGGTATATAATTTTAGTAAATCTGCACACAAGAAAACGCAATAAAAACTTAACTAAAGTAACTTATCAGTCATTTTTATTCTTTTCACACAGACAGGCAAACACATGTTTGTGTGTGTGTCTGTGTGTGTTTCCGTTCACAATTTTGTTTCAAATATGGCTTAACGTTTAGTCTAGACAAAAAGTATGGAAGGCTGAAAACTTATTTAACAAACTCTCTAAACGCAGTTTGAGTTCATGCAGAAAAATGATTATTTTTATTTGTTCTGTTTCTGTACTAAGTTTCTTTCTGTCATTTTTTGATAACATTTTCTAGATCATTCTATCTGATTATCTGCCTTTCTACCTCAGCTTATATTGATCTATCCTTATGTACACCCGTACTTTATTTACCAGAGTAGATTTTTGATTTTAAAAAATAATCCTGCATTTTTCTCTTTGTATTCATTCTCCTCTTTAAGCGTTATGCCCCTTCAAGATATAGACGATCATGTCTCCCCATAGCTCCCCTTCATGATTTAATATTTGTAAATTATCCATTTCCATAACTTCGTGGGGGAGATAGTACAGTGGTTTAACACTGCATTCTCTACTATTCTGTTCACTGTTGTATATTGGGTTACCCCACTTGTCTGCCAAAGAACTTCTGCTAATAACTGCTAGATGGCAATGAACAAAGCAGCATAAATGTTACAGTGTCTCTCCTTTTTGTACTCTGTTCAGATAGGACATGGAGGATGTTTCAATAATCAACTAACTTCAAGTCACTGTAAAAAAAAAAAACACAGCATAGAAAGTACACAGCGTACAGTGCGTTAAGCTTGCTTTTCATAAACACATACCTATTAATTGTATCAAACCAACAACTCTCCCAATTCCATTGGAACGTTACACGCACGTACATACGAGAACAGACATATTTACAAACAGACCTTTATTCAGCCTTTTTTGTATTCTTTCTAAGATATGCAGGTTGTCTAATAATAGATAGCAGTTCGGAATGAAAATTCCGAGTGTCAAGTTCGACTTCAAGTCAGGTGAGTTACATTCACTTACGCTCAAATACCCTTAGGAAATATATGAATCCATCTCTTGCCTCCAGCTATAGGTTAAGTAGTAGGATTTATCTGGAAAAAAGAATTGTTATGCCCCCAAAAAATGTTAATGCACAATAAAGGAATAATTATTCGTACGATCCCAAAATATGTTTTGGCTTTAAATAACGGATAAATATTTGATAAGCCGTAAAAGAACACAATCAACTGTAATCTATATAGTTTGCTTAGGCAACAAAATACGTTGTGCTTAATCGTATTGCTTGTAAATTTATTGCTATATCCAGTTATGAAAATTCCAGCGAACACCAGCAATACTCTTCTTTCGGTCTATTTAGTGCGTTCTTTATCAATAACAGGTGACTAAGAAGCCTGTTGTACTATTTACCGTATAATTTGTCGAGTATAGTGCAAGCGTTTATGTTAAGCGTAGCTTAGATGTGGCACAAGGCCGAAAGTATGGGGCACCCAGTGAAGATCGAGCTCACTATTCAGTCGTAACTGTTTTAGCAAGACAAGCTTGCTAACCATTACAACACGCCGAGGTGCCCTGGTAGTAGGGGCGTCTGCTTACAGTACCAGGTGTTCTCAAGCGGTCTCCCATCTAAGTACTGACCTGGCTCTACGATGCTTAACTTCGGTGATCGAACGAGAACCGGTATTTTCATCGTGATTTGATCGTTACCAAGTGCAAGTGTTTATGATCAGTTTTTTTTTTTTACGGAATTAAATAGCGATTTTTGAAGAAGTTAAAAATCATGCATTTTTCGTGACCGCTTTTACTATACAGATAATTTTTACTGGTTAAAATTCATGCCCCCAAATTCAGGGGTTATTACGGCTGGTATACGAGTATATACGGTAATCTATTGATTGAAGGAGGGCGAATATCGAAGCATTCATGCAAGACCATTATTTCAAACTGAACACAAATCGTTGGAATTTGAAACCCCTCTTCACGATACCATTTTCCGCGTTATTAAGTTTCACCCACTGGCATCTCTTTTTCTGACTGTTTATAAAACGGATGTTTTCTTGGGGTCAGGTCACGACTAAAATAATTTTCATCTCCAATAACGGGTCAACTAGGAAATTTGATTAATTTACCTCTATATCGATTACATTGAACAATAAATATAATTAAAAAGGATTTTGTTCTTTGAGTTTCAGTTAAGACACATTGCCTCGAACCACCATCAAACAATTATGATATCCACATCACACTAATGAAAAATAAATTATTTTTTTCTAAATTTTATTATTTTAGTGATTTTTATTTCTTCATTTCTTCTATTTTAAATGAAGGAAAACCTTGATATTCCATCATTACTTATTCTATTGTTGGACACTTCGTTACTAACCTCCGACAGATGGTTTTCTCCAACCTCTTCTCCAACTTTTTCTTCAGAACCAAGACGATCATAGTTCTCCATAATTTCTTAACCCTTGTAGACCTTAGCAACATTTATCCATTTGCCAAACATTTTAACGCCTGTTCAGCCATCAACTCACAAAAGCTCGTCAGATGACCCGATATCTTCCTCTCTCTGTCTTTCCTTCGATATACTTTGTGGTTATCAAATTATCCAAGCCCCCCACTTCATTATGTATCCAAAATATTTCAGCTGTCTCTTTTACATTCTGGGTACAAATGTATTTTTGGTTCCAATTTGTTTAAGTCTTATTCGTTACTTATGCTTTCCGTCCATTGTATCCTCAGCATCCTTCTGTAGAAACACCATTCCGTTATCTCTAGCTTTCAGAGATCGGCCAGCATTAATTACTATACTAAGTGAATTGATAACAGATTTCTTGCTACCTTTATAATTACACATACTAATGTAAAAGAAGGAATGACACACGCGTCTTAAGATTGCTCTGCGAGTAACTACCAGAATTTCAAGACAACACAATATGTGTAAGTACAGGTTAAGATATGCAGATGACACAGTGTTGATAGCGGACACGGAAAGGAAACTACAAAAAGTAGCGAAGGAAAGAGAGAAGAATGGACTAAGTATAAACTACAAGAAGACAGAATTCATGGTTGCAGCAAAAGGATGAGCCCAAAAAGATCTCCTCCTGTATGGCAGCGAATTCTGGACCATTTCCTCAAAGATGAAGAAAAGACTTGAAGCAACAGAAATTTGCTGAGGATATCATGACCCGAACATATGAGCAGCGACGTGGTTTTAGAGAAAATGGAAACAAAAAGGAAACTTATACTTAACACCAGGAAGAGGCAGTTGAAATTTCTGAGGCACGTAATGAGGAAAGAGAGCTTGGAAAATCTGATACTCACAGGACAGATTAAGGGTAAGAGGGACAAAGGAAAGCAGTGCGTAACATACATAATGGGCTTGAGTAACTGGATGGTAGAACAGGACTTGGGAGAAATAACAAAGAGACAAAATTTATTAAGAGATACAAGGAACAGGAAGATATGGAGGGACATGATCGCCTACGTCATGAGCAGAGGGGGGGCACAGCACATAAGAGATGAAGACAGAAAACATTCTAAAGCGTTTCGTCGTTTAAAAGCATTTCATCAGCCTAAAAATATGTTCGTATTAAGGGGATTGTAGGGGGAGATGGGAAATATAAAGTAAAATGTCGGATATAAGTGTGCAGCGAGAGGACATGCTGAAGTAGGGACGTTAAATTTTGAATTTAAATTATTCAGGCGGGCGGCTGCGTGTCGTGTCACAAACGCTCAATCGATTTCATTTAGTTTCAGAACATTTATGTAATATAACTTTCCTTTAAACTTACACAACACCCTATTATAATTGTACTTGTCACCCTTTTCGTTAGTTCGCACGGCTGTTACGCCCTGTCAATACCTCATAAATAATGGACTATTCCATTTTGACCACGTGAATACACGGAAATGACATATCAGAGACGATATTTTGTTTCAGTGAGAAATAGAAAGAAAGAAAGAAAGAAAGAAAGAAAGAAAGAAAGAAAAAGGAAGAACAAGAAAGAAAGTGCTTAATATCTCATGCCAGCTGTTATGGAGTGATTTCACAGTGGAGGCTTGTATTTGTACTAAGTCGGTCCTAAAATAGGTTCGACGTACAAAACGTTAGGAACTTTATATAATAGTTAATGACGCAGATAAATCTAGTGGTGGTCGCTGATACTTTAGTATTCGACTAACTGTCGTCCGGCATCGACTGACTGACCGACCCACTGAGCGACTGCGCGACTCTCTTGTTACTCTTACTACTCCTACTTATTATAGGTGGGAAGAGTCTATTAACTATAGAATAGGTGTGTTCCACTATAACACCAGCACATCATAAACTGGCGAGACAAAGGAATGTTAGCAATTGAAATGGGAATAGAGTAATAAGAGACTGTAGGAAATGTGTTGTAGAGTGGAAAATAATTAATCACCCAAAAGGCCGCGTTAACGCTTTTGTGACTCTATCAAAACTGTCAAATCAAGGTTGGGCAGCTCCAACCAGGTATGCAGCAATACATCAGTTTTCTGTCCGATCTGTCTCTTGTAAAGCATGAATGATAACAGCAAAAATTGCAATATGAGCACTGGTTGCTGAAGATATTAAGTTTATAATAGCCAAAAATTCATGCACAGATGTCCTCAAGGACACATGGACACATGGCACAGTGGATAAAGCGTTGGTTAGATTCAGTGACAGGACCCAAAGAGCGTGAGTTCAATACCCGGTTAAGGTAGTGGAGAACTTTCAGAGGGGAATTAACAGGAGATAACTGATAACTGTATTCATTAAAACATGGCACGTGGAACTAGAACAGTCTACCCTAGTAAGCGAAATAAAGGGTTCAGTTCGACATTCCAACCACCTGAAGAAGGCCGGAGCGTACAACGGCCGAAATGTTGTAATAACTATGGCGACAAAGATGAGGAGAATAGTCCGAATAATGTAAATAGTGTTCAGGAGTCAGTTGAAATTTCTACGTTACATAATGTGGAATGAGGGTCTGAGAAAAACATTGAAACAAAAAAAAACAAAAAAAAAGACTAAATTTACTAATAATTAAAAAGACAGGAAATTGTGGAGAGCTATGATCGCTAAGATCCCGAAGGCACAGGTTACTTAGAAGTACTTCTATGTTTTGTGTCTTGTAATTTTCTCTCCTAATGCTGTCAAGGAATTACTTACCTGTGTACATTTTCCACACTTGCACTACCTTTACCTTTGACTTGATCATCTTTCTGCCATGAGACATTATACATCCTGCAAAAGAGTAACATCATACCAAAACATTATCGCTACAAAGAGGGACAGTGATTAGATTTTAGCGGCATTAATCAAATATAACATCCCGTCCCGATTACATCCGGATTAGATAAACAAATAAATTTTCGCTTACACGATGTCTACTGTTTGCTACGGGATGACCACTCTGAAACATGGATCTAGTAAATTGCTCGAAATCAATTGCTCAAAAAATAATTTCTCGAACTATCAATTGCTCAAAAGGCAGATTACTCGAAGTAATTTCGAAGCTCGAAGCCCCACGTAAACTGCGCCGTCTCATGACACGTCAACGAAGCTGGATATAAAAGGAGCCATCACATTCAACTTTAGGAGTCCTGATTTTTTTTTTATATTTGTTTTCTATTTCTATTTCAGTAATTTTGGAGATCTCGAACCTTAGTGATGGACATAACTTTTGTTGAGAGCGAAAAGGAAAGAAGTTGTGTTTCGATATATATATATATATATATATATATATATATATATATATATATATATATATATATATTAAGGACAAAACCGTGAACAATAAGATTTACTTATGTAAAGTAAATATTAGAAACAATGTAGTTTTATTTTCTTTTAACCACAGGTTTCGAGCAAACTGCCTTTCGAGAAAAAAATAAGACCTGCTATATAAAGGTACTCGCTCTTTAATTTTAACTGTTCTGTTAATAACAATAAAGTTGTATTATTTTATCTCATAGTAAATTTTAGAACAATGTAGTTTTTTTTTTGGGGGGGGGTAACCACAGGCTTCGAGCAATCTGCCTTTCGATCAATTGCTTTCGAGCAATTTACCGGATACGCTGAAACATGAATCCGGTCTGAGATTAGATAAAGACTGATTTCAAAATGACACTTGTCAAGAGGTATGGCCGCAGTATATTTCAAGGGTTTCTATTTTAAGTGTGTCAATAAAAAAGTACATTATAATAAGTTTAGATAGTAACTAAATCGTTCCTATCTATAACTTCAACTGAACAATGCAGTTGTATGTTACATATTTATTAGAAAAACTGGAAAAAATCCCCTAGATTTTATGATAAGCAAATAAAAATTTGAACAATGGAATTTCGTGTAATATACCTTCGTTATTTCTACTCTTGTGTTCATGTTGTTCTTCTTTGGTCCTAACCTGGACCATAACATTTGGAAATAAAAAAAAAAACATAGCTAGGAAAAGCAAATAAAAAGATTTTCTGGTTGGTTGGTTGATTTTGTTTAGCGGCATATTGACACCTCTATGGGTTATTTAATGCCGAAATCTAAATATTTTGAAGACAATTTTATGGCTTCAACTAAATATATTTTGAACGCAGTTGCATGCCATCTGATACAGATAAAATGTATTCTTGGTCATTTTACCATAAATAGGTATTGTTTCTATTTTTTATATAAAAATGTATTTCTGATATTTTTACAACAAAAAAGTATTTATATACATTCGTAGAGTTTTGTTTACAGTTCCCTATTTGCCCATATCTGGGAGCCTAACATGTGCTACTACCCCCAGGTCATGGTGGGAAGAACAACAATTCGAATGTGGCTCCACGATCCTCAAAAATTCCAATCTCCCCATCTTAAAATGTATTGTTGGTAATTCTACTATAAATTGGTGTTGTTAGTCATTTTACTATAAATATGTATTTTTATACTTGTTTCGACCGTCTCAATGTATCCATGCCTGTTCGGTCTTAGGTCAAAATCTTAAAAAAAGCAATCAATCACTGTATACAGGATTAAATTAACCTCATGTCATCAGAGTACTGACCAGTAGTTTGCCGTTCTGGACAAGCCTGACGAAACAAATACGATACAGCTATGGAAGGGTGAGATTTCACAATTAAGTAGAGAGGTTGGGGACATTATAATGATCCTGCTGCATCTTAGAAATTCAGAGAGAAATCTGGCCCTTTAAAATATTGTGACAATAAAAAGTAATATGAGTGGACCATCTCCAATATAGCCGAGTATTATAATCAATACGGCTAAGATTTTGTGACAACATTGTGACAATATTCTGAAATATTGTGACAATAAAAAGTAATATGAGTGGACCATCTCGAATATAGCCGAGTATTATAACCTATACGGCTAAGATTTTTACAGCTTTAGTGAATGTTGCTGCGTACGTGATATAATTTTTCTCGTGGAATGGTCTTTCTTGCTAGTAATTTTTCCACTAATTTTTATTTTCTCGACATTTTCCTCCAGATTTATGAATGATGAGATATTGCCGCTTGATAGAAAAGCCAATTATCCTTTTTAATCTGATAAAAATTCAACGGTGAAGGAAGAGTGTTTTTCGAAAAGATGGTATTAAACAGTCTGCTGATCGATCAGTCGGGGCGGCGAGCGGGCGGAAATGATTGGAAATTTGGAAAGGTGTTGAAATTGATTAGTCTTAGAAAAATTGGGGTCGAAGCGAAGAGAATTTTTTGAAAGTTTAAAGCAAGTCATCAGGAAACAAGATGGGAGAAAGAAGTAAAGGACAAGAAACGTTTAAAAAGGTGATAGGTGAAAAATGGTGGAAAGATAATATGTGGAGAGAAGCGTTTATAGATGGATGACAGAGTCTTAGAAGAAAGAAAGAAAGAAAGAAAGAAAGAAAGAAAGAAAGAAAGAAAGAAAGAAACAAGCATGACAAGAATTCATCATCAGCTGAATGAAGGAATGAAAGAAATAAAGACAAAAAGAACAACAAAGAAAGAAAGAAAGAAAGAAAGAAAGAAAGAAAGAAAGAAAGAGTCTAGGATAGATAGATAGATAGATAGATAGATAGATAGATAGATAGATAGATAGATAGAAAAAAGAAAAGATAATATGTGGAAAAAAGCGTTTATAATTTGATAGGAGACTTTTAGAAGAAAGAAAGAAAGAAAGAAAGAAAGAAAGAAAGAAACTAGCATGACGAGAAAAGAAATTCATCATCAGCCGACTGAAGGAATGAAAGAAATAAAGACGGAAAGAATAATGAAAAGTAAGAAAGATAGAAAAGTCTAAGATAGATAGATAGATAGATAGATAGATAGATATCGAGAAAAAAAGAAAAGATAATACGTATAAAGAAGCGTTTATAGATAGATGAGAATTTTTTAGAAAGAAAGAAAGCAGAGACTAGCTTGACGAGAGTAGAATTCATCATCTACTGAATGAAGGAATGGAAGAAATAATGTCGAAAACGACAACAATGAAAATAAAGAAACAAGCAAGCAAACAAACAAAAGGCAAACAAAATAGATAGATAAGATAGATAGATATAGATAGATAGATAAAGATAGATAGATAGATAGATAGATAGATAGATAGATAGATAGATAGATAGATATCGAGAAAGAAAAAAAGAAATGATAATAGGTGGAAAGAAGCGTTTATACATAAATGGGAAACTTTTAGAAAGAAAGAAAGAAAGAAAGAAAGAAAGAAAGAAAGAAAGAAAGAACACGAGACAAAAGAAACAAGGAAGGAAGGAAGGAAGGAAGGAAGGAAGGAAGGAAGGAAGGAAGGAAGGGAGAAGAAACAAACAAAAAAAAATCAAATAAATATATTACTAGAAAGAAAAGAAAGAAAGAAAGAAAGAAAGAAAGAAAGAAAAGAATTGAGGAGGGAGGGATGAAGGAAGGATGAGAGACAAAAGAAAGAAAGAAAAGAAAGAAAGAAAAAAGAAAGAAAGAAAGAAAAAAGAAAATATTAAATGAATATAAAGAAAGAAAGAAAGAAAGAAAGAAAAAAGAAAGAAAAGGACAAAGAGACAAAAGAAACAGGGAAGGAAGGAAGGAAGGAAGGAAGGAAGGAAGGAAGGAAGGAAGGAAGGAAGGAAGGAGGATGACAGAAGAAACAAACAAACAAAAAATCAAATAAATATATTACTAGAAAGAAAGAAAAGAAAGAAAAGAAAGAAAGAAAGAAAAGAAAGAAAGAAAGAAAGAAGTGAGGGAGGGAGGATGAAGGAAGGATGAGAGACAAAAGAAAAAAGAAAAGAAAGAAAGAAAGAAAGAAAGAAAGAAAGAAAGAAAGAAAGAAAGAAAAATCAAATGAATATATTACTAGAAAGAAAGAAAGAAAGAAAGAAAGAAAGAAAGAAAGAAAGGACAAGAGACAAAAGAAACAAGGAAGGAAGGAAGGAAGGAAGGAAGGAAGGAAGGAAGGAAGGAAGGAAGGAAGGAAGGAAGGATGAGAGACAGAAGAAACAAACAAACAAAAAAAATCAAATAAATATATTACTAGAAAGAAAGAAAGAAAGAAAGAAAGAAAGAAAGAAAGAAAGAAAGAAAGAAAGAAGTGAGGGAGGGAGGATGAAGGAAGGATGAGAGACAAAAGAAAGAAAGAAAGAAAGAAAGAAAGAAAGAAAGAAAGAAAGAAAAAAATCAAATGAATATATTACTAGAAAGAAAGAAAGAAAGAAAGAAAGAAAGAAAGAAAGAAAGAAAGGACAAGAGACAAAAGAAACAAGGAAGGAAGGAAGGAAGGAAGGAAGGAAGGAAGGATGAGAGACAGAAGAAACAAACAAACAAAAAAATCAAATAAATATATTACTAGAAAGAAAGAAAGAAAGAAAGAAACAAGCATGTCGAGAAAAGAAAATCATCATCAATTGAAAGAAAGAATGAAAGAAATAAAGACAAAAAGGACAACAATGAATTAGAAAGCGAACAGAAAAGAATGAACAAAAGAGAGAAAGAAAGAGTCTAGAATAAATAGATAGATAGATAGATAGATAGATAGTGAGAAATAAAGAAAAAGAAACCCGTATAACTATACAGAAAAACGTAGCAGTTGAATGAAGAAATGAAAAAATTAAAAACGAAATGAATAAAAATAAAAAGACGGAAAGATGACGAAAAAGAAAGAAAGAATGAAAGGTGAAAATACTGAGAAAATATGAAAAGCATCAGCTTTTACTCCTCACTCAATAGCAAATATGTCAAAGTTAACCTGGTCGTTGCTCTTGCAAAGGGATTCTAATCATTGGTTAACTAGGACAGGAAATGCCTTGTAAATTTTAACGCCTCCGAAACGAAACTGTTCTCATTTAACGAACGTAGAGAAACTTTCCTGCCCGCCATTAGTATGGTTGCTGCTAGACTCTAGAATAGCAACATACTGCACTTTCTCGGTTCTCGCGCTTGAAGTGCTATAAATATGCCGAATTAATAGCTGCATCTAATGCAAGGAAATTTGAGTCATTGTGTCGTGCCAGAAGTTTTTTCCATCTTGAACATTTACAAATCCACCATTCGTCCATGCATTGAATACTGTTACCCTATCTGGTCCGGTGCTCTTCCAACAGGGATCTGCAATGTAATCGATACTGAGTCGGCATCTCGATTTCAGTTCTTTTCTCACTGACGTTATGTGGCTTCCTTCTCTCTTTTCTACAAATATTTCTATGGCAACTGCTCTGACGAACTTTTTCCCTGATGCGCCGACTACATGAGTTTAAGCATACTACTTGATTGGCATCTAGGTTCTATCATTTTATGTTGAATTAGTTAAATGTAACCGCCACTTCTACTCCAACTGTTTATTTTCTCGCACTTGCCACCTGTGGAATTCCGTTCCGTTTATTTGCTTCCTTGATAACTACAATATTCAATAATTTAAATGTAGGATCAATCAGCATCTTCTGTCTTCTTGAATCCCGTTCATCTTTTTTCTTTTCCCCAATCCCCGCTATACCCAGTATTTTCTCTCACTTTCGCTGTAACCCCATGCGTACTAGTGGCATTTCCGCCTTGCGTCGGGTGAAATGATTAATAAAAAGAGGGTTTGCCGGAGATCGTAAAGACTGAAACTACAGAAGTGGATTTTCCAACAAAAAAAAAGGAAGAAGCAGCAGGACACTGTAGAGTTTAGAGAGAACAGGAGCCAGTTCAGGTGCACCTTTCTTTAGAAATATTGAAAAGATACCATCAAACTCACATGCTTTGTGGTGATCCAGTTTAGAGATGATAGCATAAACACTGGACGGAGTTATGTGTATATCACAGAGTAGGGACTCTGTTCTAAGTGAAAAGTCAGACAGAAATACTCCAACTGTGTTTCCAAGTTTTTTTTTCTTTCTTAATACGCAGCTTAGATTTTGGAATGCATCTTTGGTTACCCAAATCCGTCTTCGGATTTCAGTGTTGCACTTTCCGTCCTCTGCTAAAGCACTTCCTAGTGATCTAAATTTTTATACTTATTTTATTTTCATATCCCCGATTTGCAATTCACACTTTGGGCTCATACCCTTCCTAATTACCATTCATTCATTATTTTTGTAGGTGATGCTTAATCTGCTCTTTCGTTCATTACCTTCTGTTTTTTTTCTTAGTTTTATTTCTGTGACCGCTCTCAACACTGTGTCATCGGCATAAGATTGTGCCCGCCAATAATGAATCCTGGTAGAACGTTTAATTCTCTCAAAATCGCCTCTCTATATAGGTAGAATGTTCAGTGAGAAGACGTAATAAAGAGGAATATTGGAGATGAACTGGAACAAGATCTGATGGAATCGTAACAGAAATGGTCTTAGCCTTAGACAACTTCGGATTCAACAAGATCACACTTGCAATAAACAAATTAAACAACAATGAATACTGGAGGTCGTCAGTAAACCATCTTCGTAATATTGCCAGGTAGAGAGACCACGTAAAAACGAATGCGAGCTGCATAAAATAATAAATTTTATTAACCACATAAACAAACAAATGGTGTTAATCCTGATGAAGAGAGCTCGAAGCAGAATTGCACCGGGAGTAAAACTAGTACAGTGCGGCTGTGTCAAAGACACCTTGAACAAGAAATACAATATTCATGATCAGAATGATATCAGAGAAAGCAATACAAATGCAGAAGAATTTTTCCGCATGTTTTATAGATTACGCAAATGTACGGACCAAGGATCTATTTTAACTGTAAGGAAACTCGATCTATTTAAAAAAAAATACTTTATTTTGGGCGCAATCCTCTTACATACGGATAGAAAATAAATTGAATAACTATACAAAATTAGAAAGGAGCGTGAACCAAGGATGATTCTTCATTCCATATTTACAGGGTGAGTCAAAACACTAGTATTTGAGGATGAGTCAAAATTATATGAACACTAGTATGAGAGGAATCATTTATTCCGTGCTTACCCCAAAACCAGATTTCACAGGGTGTAATTGGCCCATATTTTTTTACAACTCCAACGGTGACTGCAAATGCTTACTTAAAAATGCTGCAAGAGTTTGCCATGGATAACATACCCCTACAAATCAGACGAGCAGGGTATTTCCAATAAGACGGTGCATCGCCTCATTTTGCTTGTACTCTTCGCGCTTGTCTCGATCAAAGTTTCCCAAATCGTGGACACCACACTCCACTGATCTGTGACTTCTGGTTATGGGGCATGATAAATGATCGTGTGTATAGCAAAAAAGTTAAAGACATTGAAGAACTCAAAGACATAATAAAAAGTGTAATATCAATCATTCCCCGTGAAATGTGTGTCAAGGCACTAAATTGTACTGTTGATCGCTGGTTTTTGTGCATCAATCTTGCTGGTGCACAGGGGGAGACTGTTCAGTAAGCTCTGAATAAATGATTCTTCTCATACCAGTGTGAACATCATTTTGACTCATCCTCTCATACTAGTGTTAACATAATGTTGACTCACCCTATACAACGACGCTATTTTAAGGGAACTCGAAACCCTAGCAGGGCGTAATCTTAACCCTAGAGCACTAACCATGGGTATATAGTACGCAGCGCAAATTTTTCTATTTTTAATTACAATTTTCAGTACCTGATTTTCTTACCTAATTAATGTATTTCAGTTCCTATTAATGTTAACTCAAAGTACAAATTTTGAAGTGCCTGCATGTAAAATATTTCAAATAAAGATTTTATATTTAATAGTTTGTTTTTTTAAAAAATCGGGTATGATATACTCAGGGTTAGTAGTGGTGTAACTTTAATTGATGGTTAGTGTTCTAAAGTTAATAATATAAAATATGCAAACGCCACTGTGTTTATTGCCGACACGAAAAGGGAATTACAGGATCTCCTAGAGAGGGTGGCAGAGGAGAGCGAGAGAAAAAAAGGTTAACAATCAACTGCCATAAGACAGAATATATAGTCATCAGCGAAAGAGTAAATCAAAGATAGCTGTTACGAATTGAAGAAATAAACATCAAATAGTTGCAGCAATTAAAATATCATTAACAAAGAATGGAAAATGCAAGATCCGAACACGCTTTGGACTACAGTAAGAGGCATTTCAAAAGCTAAGCAAGGTTTATGAAACGAACCGTTTTACAAGATAATTATTAAGAAAGGAGTGCTGCCTTGAAATGGAATATCCATCCTCTTATATAGCTGTGAATGTTGGACAATCTCCCTGAGATGAGTCTGGTTAGTTTAAAGGCATACCAGCTCCTTATGAGGCATTTAATGCCGAAATTTAATTTTCTTGAGAACTTTGGTCATTTTTCTTCAAAAAAATGTATTGCTGGTAATTTTAATGCAAAATTTATTTTTATACGTTCATAATGTTTGACCCTAGTTTTGGGGGTTTACTATTTGCCAATAGCTGGGAACCTAACAAGTGTTACTATCCATGGTCAGGGTGAACCTGGGAACATCAGCAATTAAGAGGTGGTTCCACGCTCCTCAGAATCTCCCGATCAGAGGCCTTTCTGCCGGATATAGTTTATCGTCATACCCAGAACGTCCCACGGATGAGGAAAAACTAAAGTCGGTAAAAATTTGGTTCTTCAGAAGGATAATGAAAAGGAAGTCTTAAAGAAAATGGAAACACTTTTAATCAGAATCAGTAAAAGACAGGTAAAATTCCTTTGATACAGGAGGAGGAAGGAGGGCCTGGAAAACTTAACGCTCACAGGGCATATTGAGGGCAAAGCATTGAGCCACTGATGAGCTTTGTAAATGGATGGGGGAAAATAAAACCTTAGAAAAGGGAGAAAATCTGTTAAGAGCCACACAAGATAGGAAGTTGAGCCAAGAACCATGATCGCTTATGTACTGAAGGTATGCGGCATATAGAAGAAAAAGAAGAAGGAGGAAAAGGAGAAGAAGAAGAAGGAGGAAAAGGAGAAGAAGAAGAAGGAGAAGGAGGAGGAGAAAAGAAGACAACGATGAATATAAAAAATGGAAGCCGTGGAATAAAAAGAAGAAGAAGAAGAAGAAGAAGGAGGAGGAGGAGAAAAAGAAGAAGAAGGAGGAGGTGAAGAAGAAGAAGAAGAAGAAGAAGAAGAAGAAGAAGAAAAAGAAAAAGAAAAAAAATAAGCAAAACGTTAACCATTACAGAGACTCCTATATATGTATTTTGAGGTTGTCTACTAAGCTTAGTATGTGTCACCCAATAAGGGGCCAAGATTTAACTCACTACTCAATAATAATGGCCAACCAGAGTAGCTTCTTAATATTTACTTCAAGCAAAGGCACACAAGTCAGATAAATTGATGAAAGCAACGCAACTTCCTAGTAAATGAGGTGGAGAAATATACGAAAATGTTCTCACGCTTCATCTTGCAATGTAAATATACGTGTGGGAGTTGAACGTTTATTAGTCGGAGACTAACGATAAGTTGTGGCGCTAATTGCCGTGATTTTCTAGGGGCGTATCAGTTGACACCGTCTCTTCGCTCTCACGGGAGACCAGAGAAATGAAACAGCGCTTAGTAACACCTGACACTGATGATGTGATTGTAGAAATCTGACGGTTAAAAAGAACAAAAATATCGTACAAGAATTAACAATAATAATCAATCCACCAGGGAATTTCCCGCGGATGCCAACAGCCGGCGTTAGAGGGAAAGTCAGAATTTTGATTAGAGGTTTCACTGGTGCTACACAATCATCCAATTCAGTCTTCCTACTTGCAGTTTGTTTTGCGCAATATAGAACTATGCTTCAGAATATTGACTCTGATTTGATTGACTCTCGTGACTGATAACACTGGTCAGCAAAAAAAAACAACTTTGAAATGGTGTCGAGACACCAAACATCTTTCTTTTTTTGCTAATTTGAGCGCGCATAATCTGAAAATGGCCTTACTTTTTCTTGGTTAGCTACCTTTTCTGCTGTACACAAATGCCTCATTTTTGGTAAAAAGGAATTTTTCTCCTTTGTTTTCTGTATATATGATATTGACCGATGGCAATATTTCTTAAAATAAAATTGTAGAAAACTCTCAATTCGTATTTAAACCAACAAATATTGGTCTGCTTATTGTGAAATACTATTTTTGCAATAACAATCAGGCCCTAATTCTATAAAAAATAACACGATTGAATATACCAAGACCAACATCAAATCATTTAATAAACTAACAGCAGAAATAAAACCTTCGTGAACATAAGAACTATGGTATAACTTTTCTCTTTCTTGATTGTCTGTCATGTTCAATGTTATTTAAGTCCCTTTTGATACACCAGCAGTATCATGTACAATGGAATAGGTGCATTCAATTGGGATGTCTTTAGTTGGAGTTTCTTTCCAACTGTGAAAACAAAATGGTTTCAATGTGCTTGGTTTCCTTCCGTAGGGAACGAATAAAGGTGATGGGGTAAATTTATGACTATGAAACACATTTTAGAGCTTCATTTTTATGTCACCTTAATTATTAGGTTTACTAAAGCGTAATACGGATAAAGTTCATCAGTTAATTTGAATTTTGGCGATAAATTGGAAAAATTTCGGTCCATCTATTTTAAAATTTTTGACACAAAAACACGTTTTTTTATTATAAAAATAGTTTATTTCAGGTGACTGACATAAATTGAAAAATGAGAAATTAGAGAAAAAAAGTAAGAAAGAAAGAAAGAAAGAAAGAAAGAAAGAAAGAAAAAGATTTGACAACAATTAACAGCAATAAATAAGTTGATGCGCAATTTCTTTTTTCTTCTTTCTCAAACAAAAATGAGAAAGAAAGAAAGAAAGAACAAACAAAAAGTATTTATAAAAAGAGGCAGAGGGAAGCTACTCGAACGGCTTTTTTTTTCTTCAGAGAAGATGCTTCCCCGACCACTATGATCTTAACCTCTTCCAAGTCCAAGGTCAACTGTTATCTATCCTACATATCCTCATAATATTCGGTTTGTACACCTTTACAAGAACCTCATTCGGCAACCCTGCATTTTAGGTGGCTCTTGGGACTTGCATTAGATGTCATCACCATCATCATGACTTGGCTTCGCAAAACGATGATCAGGACGGAGTCTGTAAACGTCGCTTGCAAGCACGTTTGTGACTAAGTTCAATGAAGGACAGGCATACACGATCGCAGTCGTTGTAGCTGAAAGTCCAGCCTGCGCTTGATGGCGTGACGTTGCAGTACTTCCTCCTCTGTCTTTTGTACCTGAGAGCGGTATTGCAGGTATTTTCAAAGAAGAAGACAGCATGGTTGATGGTTAGACGCCAGGTGTCACAGTTCTAAGATAAGTTTGACCATTGGCGATGGTTGATGTGACAGACACGAAAGGATTTTTTCAAGCGATCTTTGAATCGTTTCTTTAGTGCCTATCCACCGCGATAGCCAGTAGAGAGCTCGCCGTACAGTAACATTTTAGGCAGGCGTTGATTCTCCATCCTGGAAACGTGTCCAGTCGAGCTTAGCTGGGACTTCAGAATCATGGCCTCGCTGCTGGTAATCTTCGCCTGTGCAAGGAATTCAGTATTGCGGACAAGTCACTCCAGTGGATTTTAAAGATTGTGCGGAGGCAACCCATGTGGTGTCGCAAGGGGTTTCAGTAAGTGACCCAGGACTCTAAGCCATACAGGAGAGTAGGCATTGGGCGTATATTTGTATAAAATAAAGAGTAAAATGCACATTTCGTCTACTTCAGAGCCAACTAGTAGCGTTTTAGACATTTTTCTTTTCACAATGTAAGAATATAATGAAAAAATATAAATAAATTCAGAGACTGTTAAAAAAGTGAAATGCTAAATTTAACATTCACTTGTCAAGAGGGACCGGCAAAAACATCGAGTAACATGGATTGGGAGGATGATGGAAATGTCTTATGGTCCGGTTCCTTGTACCACGGTGATAATCCAAGGTAGAACCAATAAAGAAGAACTCGAAGGCGGATATGGAATAACACAGATATATTACAAACAGGAATATATACAGAAGTAGAAAGTGTTAGTACGAACAACCAGGTTTAGTAGTAATTGTCTGAATGCGACTCTGTTCCGGACTGCCTCTGACTCGACTGACTGACTCCTGACGGACTTCACTCCAGACCTCAGACTGAACGATATCTAGTCACCCCACCACGAGGGCATCATGTGGCACAAGGCCGATTTGATTTTAAATTTTTAAAGTGTTTGCGTTTATACCAAATATGGTGATGAATAATAAGTGCGACATTACTGTAATTATTGAACAATATAGTTCATGCCACTTTGACAGAAAAATTTACCAGTAAAAAATTTGTTCAACACCATATTTGGTATAAACGCAAACACTTTAAAATTTAAAAATCAAACTCAGCGTTGCTTTGGCGCGTTCCAAAACCAATAACTCATTTTTCAATAGCATTTTCGGATACAACAACACATATATTTTCGTTGTCCTCTTATTACTAAGAGAAAAACCAAGAACAACATCTATTCTATACCTGAAGATGTCTGTAGGAACAGACGAAAGCTTGTAGTAAAAATAACAACTAATACGGCAGAAATTTATATAAACAAGGATCAATTCATTCATAACGGATCTGGAGGTTTTGTATACTATTTGAATTGTTTGCGATGATGGATGTCTCGCCATTTAAAGCATTAACCTTTGCATTAGTTTTGTGTGAATAATTCATGTATTTGTAAATTGATTGCACGTTTATCGTAATATATATATATATATATATATATATATATATATATATATATAAAAGGAAGAGGTTATAGAAGTTCCAACGAGAGAAAAGTGTGTATATTAAAAAGAAGAAAGAAACCGCAAACGTTTTAGGTTGTAATGTGATTTTTTTTTTTCAAATATATTATGCTTTATTTTCCATAATTTTGCTACACGAGTTTCTGGTCTCGCGACCTTCATCAGGCAAAGAGTGGGTATTTCCACATATTATTAAAAGGAATTAATTTTTCTCATATTTTTCGATGTTAAATATTCTCGATATTAGATGTGTGTTAGTGATCCAAATGACTTTCTTGAACTGGCAGTGAAAAAATTCTGCATGAACGCAAGTGGTTTGACTACTGTATTTGTAATTGCAGTTTAAATTTTACTGATTAAGGTCGCGAGACCGGAAACACATGTAGCAAAATTATGGAAAATAAAGCATAATATTTTTTTAAAATCCACATTACAACCAAAATCGTTTAAGGTATCGTTTTAATATATATATATATATATATATATATATATATATATATATATATGGCGTCTCGGCATCAGTTACTTTTCCACCGCCCTAAGGTTGCATCCCTTTGCTATTTCTATAAATACTTTCATGGTAACTATTGTGCCTAGACTGCTGACGAGGTCTCACCAATTTATAGTTGAGATGGCTTGATGTAACCTTAAATTCTATACTAAGAGTTTCTTTTGTCGCACTTCTCTCTTGTGAATAAACCTGTATTGGTGATTATTAGAACAGATTTGATTTCCTTAATTAAGTGTCCTTTGCCCAACCCCTGTATTTTGAAAATTTCACTGTTTTTAGTCTGTAAGTTGTTATTTTATATCTGATATTTGTTGTGTTTTTTTATCGTTAAGTTTATTGCAATATCTGCCTTTATTTATTAATATCTGTGTGTATTTTCGTGTGTTGTTCGTTAATCCTTTGATAGAAAAGTCGACATAGCTTCTAATGCACAGAATTCATAATCCTCCCCCTTTTTTACCGTCTTTGTTCGGCCATACCCTACGGTTCCAACAGATTTACTAAACAAGCGATCGACCCCTGTGTTTATGTTGTTTTCTTTTAAGATGGCTTGTCGGTGTTGGACGATGCTGCCAAGGTCGGAGTATGCCCCCAAGGGGATGAAGTCGGGAAAAGATTCACTCGGACACACCGAAGATACCAATAGCCAGCGTTTTCGGGGAGAATCCAGTTTTATTTTTCCAAAAGCAGTTCTGGTGACAGGGGTGCATATAACACTATGGCTCGACTGCCACTCTGTACCAGACTGACGACACTTCTATTCACTAGTCTTCTGTTATATATCTGTGGTCACACTACCCACGAATTGAACATCTGATCTTTGTACCATCTGCATACATGCAGATTAAAATAGACAACTGTATTGTTTACTCAACTCTACTTAAATTAATTTTAT